TGGAGGGAGGGGGATTGGAGGGATCACTTCTGAGGTTTATCTTACAGGGGTACAAGTGAATCTTTCTAAGAGTAGAATGTGAACGTTTTATCTCCATGATACAGATGATTCTGTAACTACATATGAGATTTAAACTTATCCAAGATTGCACAGATTTCAACTCAGACCAGCAAATTCATCAATGTTAGACTATATCTTCAGACTCTCTCTCCACTAAGATAAATGAAGAGTTCATGCTCTTTTTCATTTTTTTTTTCTTTTTTTCTTTTTTTGAGACAGAGCCTCAAGCTGTCCCCCTGGGTAGAGTGCTGTGACATCACAGCTCACAGCAACCTCCAACTCTCCTGGGCTCAAGCTAGTCTCCTGCCTCAGCCTCCCAAGTAGCTGGGACCACAGGTGCCTGCCACAACGCCTGGCTATTTTTTGGTTGCAGCCGTCATTGTTGTTTTGGCAGGCCAGGGCTGGATTCGAACCTGCCACCTTAGGTGTATGTGGCTGGCGCCTTAGCCACTTGAGCCACAGGCGTTGAGTCTGTTTTTTTTTCTTTTCTTTAGAAACAGAGTCTTACTTTGTCACCCTCGGTAGAGTGCCATGGCGTCACAGCTCACAGCAACCTCCAGCTCTTGGGCTTAGGCAATTCTCTTCCCTCACCCTCCCAAGAAGCTGGGACTACAGGTGCCCACCACAGTGCCTGGCTATTTTTTGTTGCAGTTTAGCCGGGGCCGGGTTCAAATCTTCCACCCTCGGTATGGGGCCGGCACCCTACTCACTGAGCCACAGGTGCTGCCCTCATGCTCTTTTTTATACATACCTCTACCTTTTTTATCTTCACTACTTTTTATCTGTTATAAGTCCTTTATTCATTAGTAACTTTAGAGCCTTTACATCTTTGTCTCATAGTATGTCAGATATTCAGACTTGACTTAGTCTATTTTTAAACAGATTCCATACACCCTGCCAATCCTCACATACCTCTGCTTCTCCATTCTCAAGTTCTTTTTCTTTACTACTTAGATGATTTATTTTATTCCTGAGGCAATTTTGAGGGGACTAGGACTTTGAATGTTTGAGAATATTATTTGTTACATTTATGCAAAACAACTTGACCAGCTATCTAAAGTGTGGGTCACACTATTCCCTACCCACATACCCTCCACCAAAGCTCTACAGACACGGTCTACTACCTCTTGGTTTTGGCTGTTACCATAAGGTTTGGGGCCAGTCTGATTTGCCCTTTTTAGGTGACTTCCTTTTTTTGCCTGAATGCTTATAGGATTCTTTTTATAATTGTGAAGCACAACTAACTTTACTGTTACATTCTTACTTAGTATTAATTATCCTGTTTCAGTTTTTCTAGAACACTGTGTCCTTTTGATGTAAACCAGTGGTTCTCAACCTTCCTAATGCTGCGGCCCTTTAATACAGTTTCTGTGGGTTGTAACCCACAGGTTGAGAACTGTTGAAATTCCTTTAACCTCTGAAGGTTTTTTCCTTCACCATTTGTTCTGTTCTCTTTTATTAGGCACACCAATAACACATATGTTGGCTACTCTTAGCCTGTCTTCACTATATATGTTATTTTAGATAAAACTCTTAGCTTCAAGCCTGTGACAGAAGCCTAACTTAAACTAGCCTGGATAAAATGAATTTATAGGAAGAACACTGAAGAACCTCGTATAACTCTAGGAAATGCATAAAGTGCAACTAGGCCTCAAGGATAATCAGAACCATCAAGACCTTTCACCTCAATAGAACTATTCATCTCTTGTCTCTTATTTCTGCTTCTGAGTGTTTGCCTGGCTTCCACTACCAGACCAGCTTCTTCCACCAGGCATGGAACATGGCTGCCAACAGCTCTAAAGTCTCATATTCCATGATTATCAGAGATTACCTTGCTTTCCTTAATTCCAATTTTTAAAAATATATATTCCCCTTCAATATATTTTTCTGAAATTTCTGTTTCTCAAAATAACTCTGAATCTGAAATTAAATGTACTTTATCTGCATGCTTAAAGTAGTTAAGCCAACTCTGTTTTGCCAATTTATTCCTTATTCGTTTCTGTTCATTTCATTCTGGTCAACTGTTTTCTGCAAAGCTCATTATCATTTCTTCTTCTTTCTTCCTCTCTACTTCACTGCAGAAGTCAAAAATTACTGTTCCCTTAGCCTCACCTTCCGTTTCTTTCTTTCCTTCCTTCTTTTTGTTCCTTCCTTCCTTCTCTCTTCTCTTCCTCTCTCTCTCTCTCTCCCCCCTCTTCTCTTTCTCCCTCTCTCTCCCTATCTCTTTCTCCCTCTCTCCCACTCACCTCCTTTCCCTCCTCTCATCCTCCTTCCCTCAAGATACAGCACTGTCTCCCTTTCTGGGAAATCCTTTCCTGGTTTCCTATTCCAACTCTTAAACCTCATAAGATGGGGCACTTAGTGCCCCCTCACTTACTTTCCATGAAATCTATACTCTGTTTACAATCTAAAAAGATACATATGAGCTTTTAGCATCCTCCTTTGATTTGATCTATACTCCTCAGATACCAGTCCATAGCTTGGAACAGAGCCATTTCCCAGTTTCATGGAATTTTATTTTTTGTTTTTCATTCTAGTTATTGATTTTGAATTAGTTTCTTGATAGGGAATATGGTTAACATGCATTTATTTTTCTAAATATCTTCTGAATTCTTAGAAGTAATAGTTACTGTTAAAATTCTACTTACAAAACTTAAAATTTATTTAGTCATTAAATATGCATGAAATGTTAACTATGTGAAAGGCACTTTGAGAGGTACTGAAAATACATCACTAAAGGAGACAGAAATACAGTAGTTCCTACCCTCTTGGAGCTTATATTATAGGAGGGGAAGACAGACTATTATTATAAACAAATAATCATAAGCATAATAGGTCAATAAGTAAGTAAAAAGAAGCTGTTCATCAGAGATTAGAATATCCAAGAGTAGATTAGATTATTTTAGTTAGAGAATCTCTGGGCTGCTTCTCAGTTCAAGGAGAGGCAAAAATCCCCTTGAATCTCATTTTCCTTATTTTGTAAAAAGTTATAAGGTGCCTCCCATAGTGACAGATTATAAAATGAGTAAGTATCCTGTATCACAGGATCTTTCTTGACCTAGCAATAACTACCTTTTTTCCTGTAATCCAAGACCCATAGGCCTTTGGGAGTGTTCCTTGGAATTCAAAGTTAGCTATTTGAATAAATCTAACAATGGCCTGACCAACATCTTCTGGCAAGAAGGGATAAAAATGTCACCAAAAGAGTACTCACTAGGCAGGAGCTATCTAGGTTGGTGATCCAAGCTCAACCCAGCCCAAGTGATTGTGAAAAAGGGTGACTCTAGCCTAGACTAATAACCACCATGACAAAAGATTATCTTTGAGGGACAATGACTAAGCACATGAACACAAATCTATGCATGTATGAATGCAAAATGCACTTTATGCAT